TCCTTTTTTTCCTTTTCTTGTGTATTGCCCCCCCCCCCCAACATTGATGGTATCACTCTTCAAAAGCCACTATAAGTATTTTGTAGTTCTATGGAGATCATAAGAAATACAGTCTTTATCCTGTAAGCAGGATTTCCCATATTTGCAAATAAGGAAGAACAACAAATGCTGCACCCAGTTTGCTTGTTGCATGCAGTTACTTATACACTTGCAGAACAAGTTCCTGATATACTGCTCATGCCATGCAAACTGACTATACTCAGAGGAAATATATTTTAAATGGGCAGATCTGATAATGAGACATTTCACAAGTGGTTTCCCCACATATAGAAGCAACTGCACAAAGTAGTGCAACAAAAATCAAGCCCCAAGTGCACAGAATGGGGTGGGGGGGAAAACAGAATCTAGACCCCGACCATCCACACTAAGCATTTGCACCTCCATCACAGGCTTTGCAGCAGCAATTCATTATGGTGGGGGGATTTAAAAGAGAGATAAACAACTTTGTAGTTGTATAGCAGACAGACCCAAGCTTCTCTGCTCAACAGTTAAGATAAACAGAATTAAAAAAGGATAGAGATGCGCAGATTTAAAGGACCTGCTTCCCCCCCCCCCATTAGATTTGTTTGACATTATTTCCTAGCCATTTTCTAAAGACATCTGATTTCTATTTTAGTCCATAGGCTACAGGTCTGTAATAATAATCTTTTAAGTGGCACTAGACATCAGAATTGTAGACTTCTTCCATGCTAAAATAACAACAAGCAAACAGTGATGTTGATGCTGCTCAAGTGAGGAGACTGCTTCCCTGACTGTCCACAGAACCTTGTTTCTCTTCAATTTTTCACCCCAGGAGTAGTGTAGATCTGTTTGCAGGCTTTAATACCTTTTCAGGAGTCAGGAGATAGTTTGTGCATGACCCAATATACTAGGTAACTTCAGATCCCAGAAGAATTAGCTAATGATAGCATAACCTGCTTTTGTTTCAAGGAGACGTGCTAAAACCATGCTAGCCACCAATGCTATGTGGTTCTTGGTGCTAGCTCTTTTTAAAAGTTCTTATCACATGAAGTAGTAGTACTGTTATCTTGTTCTTCCCTCTTCTCCCCACCCACAACTGGCACTTGATCCTCAGCATCTAAACTAGGCTGATCCATGGAAGATTTCAAGTTCCAGCCAAACTGTGGACTGGCAGTTTGCAGATAACTAGAAGCTTATCCTCCCAACTCCAGCTTATCTTTGTTATTAGAAGATCTTGTGAAGGCAGTGGGGAGGAAAGAAAGGAAGTAAAAAAGAGTTAACCCAGGTCATTCACAAGAACTGTTCTTGTGCCCAGGACAACCTAACATCTTACGTTGCTAGGCAGCAATGTAGAAGAACATACGAAGTGCCAACAAAAATCACAGCGCCCATAGGAGTTGCTTTAATTTTCTTAGATTGAATTCCAGCACAGAATTAGTTTTGTCCATGGCCGACATTTGCTTTTAACCCTGATCAGCAGACAGTGCCACACGTCAAACTCTTATTTGCCCCAACAAGGTCTGTTT